AGCATCACGATGAAAACCGCGTAGTCGTAGTACGTGAAGCTTCGATAAAAGAAAATCGAATTAGAGTTCGCTCCCACGATACCATACGTTCGCATCGGCGAACCCGGACACCCGCGCAGAAACGCTTCGACGGAGTTCACTTACCGGGTGAGGAGCTCGCTCGCGTTGACCAGTGTGAAATCCATGGCGCTGATTCTCTAGGGATGCGCTTCTCTACCTGAAAGTTCTCCAATTTATAGGCCAGATTCATGAACATTCGTCTCGCTAAATCGCAACCGTCTGAATTGTGTTCCCTTCCACTAAATCTCCGAGCGATTCTTAGCGAGAATACCCCACTTGCGTGCGCTCAGACCGGGATTCTGCTCGAAGCGAGATTCTGCTCGGACACAGAATCGTTTCCGGATGTTGCACGGTCGAAACGGCTTCCAATCTCTGCACACGGCGCATCCTCGGAGAGATCTTTGTTTTCGAGCCGTGTCGTCTCCAGAACTTCGAACTTCGACGGGGCGGAGAATTCCCCTCACCTTCGATTCGAGATGCGCGCACCCACAACCCTACAAGTCGCTTGAATTCTCAAGTCGATCACTTCCGATCCCGAAGTGATCAATCAGCACTGTGGAGCTTCTAGCTAGAAGACTCGCAGTTCCAAAGGGCTCTGCCGCACGGAGGACCGAAGAGACTTTGGCTACAGAGAGGCAGCTACACAAATGGGCATATGCACACTTGAGAAAACTTGTGTCTCCACCGAGAATCGACTTGCTCGACGATGGTAGGGGGAAGATTCCTGTCGGTAGGGATTCTCGCACGCACTCGGAACCGAAGTTCAATACGAAGTGTCAAGAGAAGAGCCGCTCAACACGCATCTCGCCTCGGGCGGTCACTTCACGCGGGAGAGACTCTCCACACAGCTTGGGAGTCCTCAAGCGCGAACACCGAGAAGAGGGAGCGGGGAAAGCGTAACAGGCGGATGACACTCACCGTATCAAGGTCGGGGACTCTTAGACTCCGTCAA